ACTCTATTCCATCTTTTTTTATTGATAACACTTGTCAATAGAAACTAAACAAAAAAAAAAGAAAATCGGTTGACAAACAGTGGAGAAAAAGGTACTGAACTGTTTTGTCTTTGCCTATTTATACGTAGAGTATAATATTATGATTTGACGTAGAATTATTTATGTTACTTATCATCCCACAAAGTTATAACATGAATTAATAAAGCTTGTCACGAATAATCATATGAAATTTCTAACTACTTTCCTTCATACTCTATTTGTTACTTTCTCTCTGATTACCTATTGTTTGAGAAGCTACGATTGTTTCTTAACCTACAATATAAATCACTACATTGGTGGTGTAGTGGGTAGCACGAACAGTTACACATCCAGAAGTCCTAAGTTCGAGCCCCGGGTCGCGCCAAGTTAAGTTATTAAATGTTTCTGTTAAGAAAGTCTGAGTATCAGCCAGGAGTAGGGAAATTGGCGATGTTTAACTCCCATTCCTCGGTAGACACGTATATAAAGTAGGTCCTGCGTTTGATCTCTCTCATCGTGGAATTATCGTCCCATTGGTATTTGAGAGTGACAGGAATAGAGAGTGCACGTTGTGTCTGCGCACTATAATATCTCCTGAGCAGTTTATTATGAAATCAGTCTCAGTCAGTCGAAATCGGTCAGCAGAACATCATTATCATCATATACTAGCGTTATTCTGCTGCTCTGCCTGGGTTTATTTATGCAAAATTGCAACGCTATTAAGGGTGATAGTAAAAAGAAACGTCGTATGTAACTCTACTACACTCTAGCTTAATTTTCCATAGAAATATGGAATAAACAATAGACTATTCAAATTATATCTGGCTAGTTCAAGAGATTAGCGCGATCAAACAGATATGTTTGTTTTTTAATAATCATTGAGTATGTAACACACAGACATATTATCCTTGCCTTTTTTTGAGCTCTTTCTTGTTCTGTTGTGGGTATGAATGTTGAAAATTACACTCTTGCATCATGTTTAAGATTTTAAAGATATTCATTTAAAAGTTTATTTCTAATGTTAAAGGTCACTTTCTGGTTTTATACATTGAGACTAGCCAACTGTGCAGGAGATATTATAGTGCACAATTGTACGCGCAGACACAAGTGCGCTCTCTATTCCTGTCACTCTCATACTCCGGTGGGACGACCACTCGACACGACCGGTGAGAGTTAAGGCGTAAGGTTTTATAATACTGTATAGCGATTCGTTAGTTTACTTGAACTAATGTCAATTATAAATATTTAAAGCAACCTTAAAGGAAAATTACTTTCAAACCCATTACACGTTTTCCTTTTACTTTTATATTTAGCATTTTTTATTCTGACCAATCTGTATTTTATTCACAAAAATATTTTCTTTACGAGACAAACATTATTTGTTAAATTTAGGCCATTCCGATTCCATTCATAAAGCGTCAAGAAACCCTCGCAAATACCATTGAAGCTTTTAATTAATTTTATAAATAAGTGATAAATTAAAGTTCAAAGGAGATATAACAATAATTCGTATTAAATCTCTTATTACTTAAGTAATATTGTAAATAATTGTAATGTACAATTCTAAAGAAGGCTAATAATTTATTGTTTTAAGGGACAGCTTTGTTAAAATAATTGTGAACTTTCAGAATATATTAAAAATGATAATAGAATCGAAATAAAAGCTTCTATTCTATTGTGTATCTCTGAAACGTGGACTAGACAGATTTTAGTATAACTTTGAAAAGTGGACCGTAACGAAATAGGTTGCAATAGGTTGCCATAGTAACCATTGTAAATGTCTGCAAAACGATATATATTATGTTATTTCCATTGCTATCTTAAAAAGATACTTTTTTTACTAAATTATTGTACAATATTAATCGAAAGAACTTATATACACTCTGTATTCAGTGTTCGATTTGGGTTCGAGTCTTGGGTTGCGACAAGTTTAGTCATTGAGTATTTCTGTCAAGAAATTCTCAGTAGCAGCTCGGAGTTGTGAAGATGGCGGTGTATCACCCCGTCCGTCAGAGAACACGTAAAGCCGTCGGTACTGCGCCTTAACTGGTCGTGTCGAGCAGTCGTCCCATCGGAGTATGAGAGTGACAGTTATAGAGAGTGCAATTGTGTCTGCGCGTACACTTGTGCACTATAATATCTCCTGCGCAGATAACTAATCTCAATTAGATTGACCGCCGAAACTGAAAGCGGTCTGGGGAATATTATTATTATCATTATTATTCATTATTATTACATATTATAAGTTAAAGACTCCTAACACTCCTAAAAACGCTAAGCTTGTGTTTATACGGCTAATTTCAGATATTACTGAACAGATTTTCATTCGGTTTTCACCAACAGAAAAAAAATTATCTAGGAAGGCTATTATTTATGAAAATATTGTGAAAATAAAGTATCAAAATGATGATATTGGTGAATTTGGTCGAAAAAAGTCACCCCTTCTGAGCGCTTCCCTAACGCTGTACGAGTAAATATAAAGGACATTTGAAAACGTGAAAGACACGACGGTGGGTCAATATTTTATTATATGTAGTTTGAGCTCGTCGCTCTACTTATTGCCATATAAAATGCGAATCTTGTTAAGTGTTCATTGATAAAAAAAAACAAAGGATAGGAACTAGGGACGGTTTCTTAAAAGTAATTTAGAAAAATCTAAGAAAATGTGAAACTAAAACACACAAGTGACTTAATGGGTTACTGAATAGGTACATTTCGAAAGAGCCTACAGTTCAATCCAATCTTCTTAGGCTCTAAAAGCGAAACTCGAAACGTTTTAAGCAAAGAAATACTAGTAATGACCTACATTCAGTTAGTACTTTGAAGAAAATGTTCGATTCCAGCCATTTTCGGTTTTTACGTAACAATTCTAAGGGTTAAGATGGGATTCTCTTTTTTCTTACGATATTCTCACTTATAATGTAAATTTTAACCAAGTCTGAGTCGACTTGAGGCTTCAGTAGACAAATAACAGTTCTATTAAAAATTAAATTACATAATCAATAAACTCGACTACGTAAAAAGCGACTTAAAGTAAAAGTAAAAGCGAGTTTTGCTAACAATTTTTACTAAGTACAATGATAATTGATTATAGATTTTATCATTATCAATTGTTATTTATTTATACAAGTACCCTCACACAATCTGCTTATACTTAGACTGATTGCAGATAATAAAACACAAAAAAAAAAAACAATTTTTATAGTAATGTACATAGCAGATGTGAAAGTGTATTCTTATCTGTTTGTACGTACGTATATCCTATTTTCTTGAAATAAAAAATACATAGAGTGTACACGTGAACTTTAATGCCAAATACCCTAAATTAATGAATTTATATATTGTACGCTACTTGCGCGATAATAAACAAAAAATATATAAAGCATCAATATAAGAGCATGGTGACGTACAACTGAGTGAATAAATCTATATGTCTAAGAGAAACTTGCGAGTTTTTGAGATACGTGTGAAGTCCGCCGACCCGCACTTGGCCAGCGTGGTGGACTATGTTAAAATGGGCTGATTACATAAAGCGCATCATAGTAATACTTCATGTAAGATTTTTTTTAAAGAATATCTAACTTTTACTATAAATTTTTAAAAGCTCATTTAATATACATACATACGGCGCAACTCACCAATCGTATTTATGATCTATGTGACCTAGTGTCCTTAAATATCGATAAAACATTTATTTCTTTAATGCCAATTCGTAGTAGCTTTAAACTTAACTCGAAATTACTAGCTATTATTTCTCCACCAATAAAATTAACAAGCCACTATTTGAAGAATAACATGTATAATTATATACAAATTACATATCGTATCGTGAGATCGGGTTATGAGAACGTATTTAAGTAATTTTAACGTATAAATGTATGGAGCTGATTCTACATGCTTTCAATATGGAACTGTGTACAGTGTGTAATAATATGTTTGGTTTTTGGAGGACTAGAAACACGAATATTTTAAAATATGGTAACTCCTGCACATGCTTGTATGGTTTTTGTTTTATTTTTTAACCGACTACCAAAAAAGAGGAGGTTCTCAATTCGTCTGAATCTGTTTTTTATAGATGTTCACCGATTACTCGAAGACGCCTAAACCGATTTGGTTTTTTTTTGTTTCAAACGGTATACTTCCCAGGTGGTCCCATACAAATTTTATCGAAATCAGACGAGTTTTTAAAAAAATAGCCTTTAATATTCTAAGATATGAATATCTATTAGATTTGCCTTGCGTTGGCTGGCATCGACTTCGAAAATATCTGATTAGGTATCTATTCTAAATGAAAACCTCCGTTTAGTTGTTATTTACATTTTAGTGCCTGGAAGTAGGATTTTTTAAAGTTTTTTTTTAATAAATATAGAATCTATACAATACTTTTTATAAATTTAGTTTTTATTTACAGTTATATTCAAAAAAAGAAACTCAGATGCACTTTCTATCCTTTAACTCACAGTCCAATGGAACGACTCTTCTTGATCATATTTTGATTAACGTATATATTATATCTTAAGAAACATCAAGCACCTGATTATGTTAATAGCAATTTAACAGTCTTCCAGACCGGATTGTGGGCACAGTGGGCAATCTCACCGAGACCAGGTAGTTGCGCAGGAGATATTATTTTATATTACACGCACCTTAGTACTACTATTATAATGCCTTAGTGGTCTAGTGACTAGCATGAATAGCTGCAGATCCGGAGGTCCTGAGTTCGAATCCCGGTTCGGGTTATGTACAGTTATAGGATTTTCTATTGTACACCTGGTTAGCGACATTACACCCCGTTGACTCTGAGAGCTCGTAAAGCCATCGGTCCTGCGCTCTCACTGGATCTCTCACTGGTTATGAGAGTGACAGAAATAGAGAATACACTTGTGTTTGTGCTTACACTTATACACTATAATATCTCCTGCGCAGTTAGCTAGTCTAAGAGAAATATAGGGTGTAAACTAAAAAAAGAATGTGGATCTTACCTCTTAATCCTGAACTGACTTGGCATTGATACTTCGCATCGTCTTCTAGAGTAACATCCCTGATATCCAGTGAATAATCTCCTGCAATAAAAATTAAAAGTTATTTATAACAAAAACACTATTTTATAGGTACTTTTAAACTATACACAGCTTAAATTTCCTTGATTGTATGTACAGAGAATCCTAGCAATTATATTTAGCATTAATATTATAAATGTGAAAGTTTGTGAGTATGGATGTTTATTACTCTTTCACTCCAGAACGGCTGAACGGATCTGGATAAAATTTGGTACTCTGATTATAGCCTAGAATAACACATAGGCTACTTTTTTATCCCAGAAAAATATACGGTTCACGTGGGATAGGTTTGTTTTTGTTTTCCTAGAGGTGAACACGAGAAATAAAAAAGGCTTGAAATTTAGCTTGCGTGAGGTACAAGGTCTGAGTATTTCACGTAATCTCCGAAGCAGTGATGAAACATTACCAAATTGAGACTTCCCAACTCGATGTGCTACTGAGGTTTTCCTGATAGAAAAATGCAACAACTTATTGGGCCTTGACTGCCTCAAACACAGTACGATTTGCATATAAGCTGTACAGGGCAGGGTATATACGTAATATAATACTCGTTTAGGTTAACGCGAATATTTGACATCAATACTTCCATACCCATACTTCCATACTAATATTATAAATGTAAAAGTATGTTTTTTGGAACAGAATGATGGATTGGCGAGATTTTTGGTGTGAAGATCGTTGGAGAGCTGGAGAGTGACATAGGCTACTTTTTACCGTGGGAGATCATCTCATTCTCACGGGAAAATACGTTATAATACAATCCAAAATTTATTTCGGATCAGAATTACTTGAAACTTGGTATTAATGCTAGTAGTAATAGCTATAGTTAGCGCGAGCGAAGCCGCGAGTTTTGCTAGTTTTAAATAAAACTATCTACCCTCTTCCATCACCATGATTGATAAAGCATTCGAAATGTCCGGGACTAAAAATCAAAATAAAACCAAAATAAATCTAAATAACTTGAAAATAGCTTTGCTAAGGGATATCTTTCTAGCTGACGTTAACATGACGATATATAGAAAGCTCATCTCAATTGACGCAGAATAGTAAACTTTAGTTAATTGCTTACACGCGTGTTATATCAAATACATGCTTTGAAATCCGCCACTATTCCAGAAACTTTAGCTGTCAGTCTAAAGTTTTAGAGTAGAAACTATTACTTATAACATAAAGTACACTTTCTCAGCTTGGCCCGGGGATTGCTATGTAAGTAAAACTTAAATTAGACCATTCAATTCGTTCGCCATCTATCGTACGAGTATAATATGCTACTACGACAAACATTTGAAAAGAATATGATATATAATTACATAGACTTCCTTACATAAATCATTTTTAATCTACTATTGACGACGACGTTAAATAGATACATATCATAAGTATAAACACCCATGACTAGAGTACAAACATTCGTGCACATCACACAAATTAATGTTCCCAGCGGGACTCAAACCCGCGACCGCTGGCACAGCAAGTAAGGTCACTACAAACTGAGTCAAAGGTGTCGTCGTATCAGATATATTTTTCACATTAACTATTTCTGAAATATTGTGCTTGAGAGATGATGGTAACGCAATGGTAGCTAAACGTATACAATTTTACAACTTTTTATCTCTCAATTTAGTTGAGCATCACTCTAGAACAGTTCAACGGATTTTAATAGAACGTATTTTAATATTCAGGCTATAGTCTAAATTAAAAGAGTGGTAACCCATTGGTAATGTATATGCTTGAAAAATCAAATAAAACGAGTTCAAACTCAGATCTTGCGGCAGTGAGATTTTCAACGTGATTATCACTTGCTAACGATAACAGAAGATATCGTAAGCTTCATGTCTGAGAGAACCTAGCTAATTCTAGACGTGTGAAGTCTGTCAACCCCCATTTGGCCAGCATGGTGGATATAGCGTGGACTATAGCGTGCTTCACCTTGCATTAAGAGAGAAAAAAAAGCTAAATTATAATTGATAGTTCAAATTATAAACATATCTAAGTTTCATCACATTTGGTCAAGCAGATATAAAGATACAATTTTAGGGTTTTAAATGCTATCCTTATTATTAGAAGACTTTATGGAGCGAGAAACTAAAGGCAAAGAGAAATGCCGTAGTTGTGTTATATGATATATTTATTTTCACATAAAGGTAATATAAAGGCTTTTGTAACGTCATTACAATTTAATTACGCTGTGTGCTTTGCATCGACTTAGTTGCTTTGAAATTATATGCACGCTTCCGACTTGGAGGTATAATCTGTGTTTATTTTCATATAACCTAGTAATCTCCTAAAATATGTTTAAATAAAGTGGTATAGAGTAGATTTGATATTTTCTACCTAAATCTGTTATTATAGATGTTCCAAACAATGGTTTTGACTGACTTAAATGGAGGTTTTTTATGTAAATTTATATTATATTTTTCTAAATAAAGGAGAAAACAATGTGAATTAATTTTCATTATTCGCTCTCAATGAATAACTTCTCATGAAAGGTCTTATTTGAATTTCAAGAAGAAAGTCGAAAAGGTTGAAAAGAGTATGTATAAAGTGATGTTAATGTGTGGTGAGTGAGGTGTACCTTATGATTAAAAAAATATTGTTTGATTTTTGAAGTTATACTTCTTTTGACACGTTTGGAAATAAATATGAGAGTAAAATTATTACGATGCGCGCGCACACCGACAGCCAAAAAGCGACATGATGAAGTCAGCTGCATTCCTTTTACAAACAGAGAGTTGTGACATTCGGGATGAAATCTTTAGCTATTTTTGTTCTGCACCTCAATGAAATATAACTTCTTACATGCGTACATTAGTAAGAACACACGTTTTTTCTCTTTTTGTTTTTTTTTTGTCTTTTTCTCTAGACAGTTTTTTAATATAGCTGTGTACATTTTTTTTTAATTTTGAGATTTGAAATTTCATTTCAATATACCTATATATATATATATATATATATATATATATATATATATATATATATATATATACCTAAAAGCTTACCTTCTTCATCGCTCCCGATCATCTTATACCGGTCGTAGCCACTAAGTTCCCTGTGCAGACCAAGACCGAAATCGTCCTTCGTCCACTGTAATTGACCCGCTTTGTTTTCCACTCTACATGGTAGAGTCACCCTCGATCCCACTACAGCCGTCTGCGAAAAAAATATTTTATGTCAAAGTTTTAGTACTTTTCATACACTAGTATTATAAATATAAATGTGTAGGGACATTAACACACAACACCCTATAGTTCCGTGGTAAGCTACGGGGCTTGTGTTTTGAATACCTGGTAGGTGATACACTACCAGTACCCATATAGAAGTTTAAATACATATATATTTTAAATATAAGCACCCATGACTGGAGTACAAACATTCGTGTTTATCACACAAATTATGCCTCCAGCGAGACCCGAACCCGCGATCGCTGGCAGAGCAAGTACTACAAACTGAGCCAAACGCGTTATCGTAAGGATGAGATAAAATTTATAAGTTTGGATATGGGGGCTAATCTCTAAAACTAATCGTCCGATTCTAAAAATTCTTTAACTGACGTAAACAAAGAGAGCTTTAAGGTATTTTTTATTCCGATAAAAATATGTTTACTGTTAAAAATCATAATATAATAACTTTAAATAAAATCGGAAAAGCTACTAAAAACTAACTGTTGCGTTGTGTTATGTTTATATGTTTTGACTACACAGTTCGTAATAAATTAATAAAAAAAATTAATTTAATTTTTAAAGTCTAAATCTACTATTGTGGTTTAATATAATTTCTCCATTGCTTTCTGCAGCAAAATTTGGAAGAGGATGACCCCTTACATACTAACAATCACATTTTAACATTTCTAATTTATAATATAAGTAAGGGTACTAAAATACAAAATTTTAATAAATGAAAAAAAAAACTACAACCAATATAATACTCTAGGTACGTATAGTCGTATCAGCGTGAAATAATAAACATACAGCCACGTATTATACACATAGTCCGATTAGGGCAGTGGTAGCCCAGTGGTAACGCGCTCGCTTGGGATACCGCGTGAAGCGGGTTCAAATTCCGGGTTTCGCGATTTTTTGTGTGAAAATAGTTGGAGGGCTGGAGAGTGACGTAGCTTACTTTTTACCGCGGGAGATTACCTAATTCCCGCGGGAAGACACTTTATAATACAATCCAAAAAGATATTTTTGATCAGAATTACTTGAAACTTGGTATTAATGCTCTTTTATAAAATTAATTAAATTCGTATTATAGCATTTTTGGAAGTTCATCTTATAAGAGGGTAAAATAGAGAATGAAAGTTTATATGAAACTACCTTTTTAGAGTTTTTTTTTGTACTTTGAGCGCGAGTGAAGCCGCGGGTATGGCTAGTATTATTATAAATGACTTATAATAATGTTACTTTTATTTATTATACCACACATGCCTTCCACTTACGCTACTCTATAGAAGATTAATATTGTTTTATCTTAAGACTCATCTCGACTTATAAAAATTAACTGTTCTTATACAAACCGGACGCCTTTTAATCTGAGCGAGTTATCAATCGAATTAATTTCAAAGATTGTACTATTTTTCTTTCAATACAAGCGTTTAATATAGTTTTATAATATATGTATCTAAATTAAAGTGATACGTCACTCTGATCTAAAAATTTCCATTTCCTAGATAGGATGCGGGTAATATGTAATGACTTATCGAGCTTTTAGCCGGAAAGCTTGTTTTCCATAATATATGCATTTGAAGATTTGATTACTTATCTACTCTTCTGTTAGAAGCATGATCGATAGGTTTAATATTTCAAATTACAAAATTTCTTCAATCACAATGACTTGAAAAAACATTGACGCAAAAAAACTTATTTTTCAAAGTAAAATTCCTTCAAAATAAGTTATATGTATCAAACATCAGTGAAGTTTCATCAAAATTCGTTTAAAACTTGTTGTAACAAACATACATCCATATATCCTTATAAATTTTCGTGTTCATTTTCCTATATGATACATTTTTGTTGTAAAAAATACACATAATTTTTAATACTATTATAAAAGACAAATGCCTCGCTGGTTTAGTGGCCGGCATACGCCTGCAGATCAAGGTCCTGGGTTCTTGTCCCAATTATAGGCACTCTTCAAGTATATTTCGAAAACTTGCTAGATTATTTCAGTCATGCAGGTTTCCTCACGATATTTTCCTATTGGTGAAATATTACGACGAACAAATAAAAATAATTCGTAAATATTATCCTATTTCGTTCGCAACTATTTTTACAATGTTATAGTAAACTTATATTAAAGGCACTTCATATTCTATTCATGACTTCATTGAAGCGCTGTCAGTATTGAGAACTATAAAACAACTTCTAAGAAACGTGTGAGAGAAATTTGTTCAAGAAAATTGTGCTAACTTAACAACTTTAATAAAGTTGGCAATACTGTGAAATTTTATATGAATTTATTACTTTTTAAACAAATTTATAGTAATAAGTATGTACATAAATAACAATGGCTGGTTTAGTTTATGTTAGATTTTGTTTATCTACTTAACTATATCGCAAAGCTGAGTTGAAAAGAAAAAGCTCAACTACTTTATAATATAATGTATTTGTATGTTGATATAAAATAAATAGGTTGGGACATTAACACACAGCACTATCAAGTTCCATGGTAAGCTACGAGGCCTGTGTTATGGATACTAGATAGTTGATAAACTACACAAATAATAACTTTAAATACATACATATTATAAATATAATCCATGACTGGAGTACAAACATTCGGGCTTATCACGCAAATGAATGCCCCCAGCGGGACTCGAACCCGCGACCACTGGCCTGCGCCAATTAAGGTCACTAAAAACTAAGCCAAACTCGTCGTTAAAATTCCCTTGTCATATTACGAATCGGAGGAAAAGTAAACTATGTTAATTAGCGTTTATTTTATATTAGCCAAAATTATCATATAATATTTTCGTTGAAATTACTAAAATATAAAACTGAAGCAAAACACTATTTACATTATTGCTACAGAATTTTTTGGTTAGTTTATATAAGCTTATAAAAAGATAAACTTGGACCCTTTTCGTGTTTCATGTACGTTTCTCGGGGCTATCTATATAAAAACATTCTAGGATAAATATTTGCGGTATGAGCAAAGAAAGCACAGGTGCATTCTTTCCCAGCTATAGGAAGCCTTTGATACAGGCATGTAAGATGATATTGTTATTTTTATTTTTGAACCTTTTGACCTTCCATTATTAGATCGTGGATTCGATTCGAGGTATTTTTCCAGGTATATCTGAGTTTAGGCCCATATTTCCTACGTATCTAGTGGATATATATCATTTTTACGATACTAAACAGTTCTTCAAACATTTTAACACCTCCAGGTAAATTTCTAAGAAATTAATTAAAATTATAAGACATCTATTGTTAACTGACACGCCGGCGTATCCGCGGTCGTGGAGGGATTCCTGTTATTAAAGCTAATGTAAAAGTTTGTGAAAATGTTTACAAGTACGCATGAATAAATATTTAGAAGGTTTTTAAAACTTGGCACACAGGTAAGATTTTTATCTCTTTTTCATATTATATAAGCTGCGGCAGCTCAGTGGTAACGTGCTCGCTTGGGAAACCGATTGAAGCGGGTTCCAATCCCGGGTCTTGCACCTCTGATATTATGTAGACTTATGCGAATGCTCCATACTCACGTGCGAATAGTTTTCGACATGAGTACCACTTGCCTTGCAAATGAAAATATTGTGATTTTATTGGGCCATTTAAGAGTAAGAGATGGGACGTAAAAAAGGTTAGAATACATCTCATACACCAATATTTTGAATGTAATTTCAATAAAATCTTCCATTTCTATATTCCATATTTTAAGAGAAATCTAATAAAATTCTGAGACGAATCTATACATTAAATATTTTTGGTCATTATTATCGATACCAAGGCCGAATATATAGTTTTTAGAATTTTTGTCTATTTGTCTGACTGTCTTTGACCGCATCACGAGAAAATCACTGGACAGATTTTGATGAAATTTTGTATGATGATAGCTAGTTATTCGGATCAACATAATATAGGATACTTACTTTTTACTGCGGGAAAATATTTCATATCTGAGAAATCTATATTAAACCTTAAAACGTAACTAGGGATAAGTCGCTTGTATATTATAAAAATACTTTCCAAACAAGTAAAATGGATTAAATAGTAAATTACTTAATATCTCACCTGATCTTGAGGCTCCATAGCGAACTTCTGTTCGACATACCCTTCACAAACACTTAAAACACCCAAGAACACAAACTGCCAAGTCCGCAACAAAAGAAACAACGGCTGTACACACCTACTGGTCACACGCAGTCTTTTACAGTTTACCATTTTGTTTTATTCTTTATACATTAGTTATACTTATTTACATTTATTTTACATCTTGAGGAAGTTAAACATCCTCTAAGTGATGAGTGAATGGTTATTTTTAAACACAATAGGCGCCATGCTCTAATGCCGCGAGGGTGATCTGTAACAAAAGAAACGGAGATATTAAATATAGAATCTTAAAATAAGCAGTTATGGATAATGTTTATTGGTCACGGTTTAAAAACATCTGTCTAACATCTCATAATACGTATAAAGAAATACTGCTTTGTTTTTTATTTATTTGAATGTATTTATAAGGTACTAGCGACTAACCCTCGCTTCGCTCGGATTCGTCCCTAGCTTGATTCCCCATACCAACTTTCATTCCAATTTTCATCACCTTAGGGGATGATTTTCGGGATAAAGACTATCCTATATCCTTTCCAGGTTCTCAAACTATCTTCTTACCAAATTTCATCTAAATCGGTTCAGTAGATCCGGAGATTACCCCCTACAATGTCACAAACTCACAAACTCACAATCTCACAAACTCACAAATTTTACCTCTTTATAATATTAGTATAGATTACTTTTTAACGTGTAAGTTGTGAAGACTTATAAACGATTAGAAGTAAATATTTTACCGATAAAGGTAGATTGTTTTGGACTTTATATAAGACCTTTTGAAGTATAATTAATTTTAGATTAAAAAGAAGTCTATATAATATAAATAGGCAAAGACAAATATTCAGTACCTTTTTCTTCTCTGTTTGTCAATCAAGTTTCTTTTCAACCGACTTCAAAAAGGAGGAGGTTCTCAATTCGACGGTTTTTTTTATGTTTGTCACCTCAGAACTCCGTCATTTATTAACCGATTTGGACAATTTTTATTTTGTTTGAAAGGGTATACTTCCAGATTGGTCCCATTTAAATTTCAATAAAAACCACCCCTAAGGATGGAAAAATAGCTAATGATGAATTTAACCTACTTCTAATTGTCATATTGACTTGAAACTTTGCAAGTATTTCTATTTCCGTTGATAGTACAGTGGTTCGGTATTGTTGACCTGATCTAATGGCAAGGCGAGAAGGCGGATAGGTGGAACTCTTCAACAGCTAATAGTAGATACTTTGAGTTTGGGCTTATTTTGTTTGATTTGACAAGCCTAACACGTTAGAATTCTTACTTTGCTACTACTGTCTACACTAAAAAGGGAAAAATAAAAACGTTTTAACAAAAAAAACCAACTTCAAACAAAGCACTAAAAAGTAAAAAATAACTGATTGGTAGTTTTCATTCACTATACATACCTAATCAAATAATTTTGAAGTCGGTGCCAGCCGATACAGAGCAAAGCACACAAGTTTTTATCTTAGTAGCTATTAGGCTTTTAGCTATTGGGCTTTTAATTTTAACTTTAAATAATAGCAATGTAAATTAATATTCTAAATTTTTTAAATAACATATAAAACAATAATATTGCTTAAATAAATAATTAATATTTTTAATTTTAAATTTTCGTTATGGTTAAAATAATCCGAAAAGATTTTTATTTAAAGTTTTGGAAACAGTATTTTTTTATATAGATAGCTAAATTCTATTCATATATCGACATTGTTATGTTTTCTTCAAACTTTCAATAATGATCATGGTATTGTCAAATTTTAACCACTAGATGGACACTGGACAGTATTTATGAAAATCGATCCACAATTATTAACAAAGATAAAGGCAAATTGGGTAACTTATCCTTTTCGAAGTCGGTAAAATATGTGGGCATTCTTGCTCACTTAACCTCACGTAGATACGGTATATTAAGCATTTATGTTTTTCGCACGTCATCGTTTAACGTCACACTTTGGCTTGCTCGTAATAAGACAGACATTTAAAAAGTCAAAATGTCACTAGTGACGTTTAAATCATTCTAGGTTTATTTCCGTTTAATTTTATAAACTACTGCACGGATTTTGATACGATTTTTGCCAATAGAATAAGGGAATATCTAAGAAGGTTTAAGGCTGTAATTTATAAATTATTTTAATATATATATATTTGTAATAAATCAGAAAAAATCGTCCTTTCCAAGAATTTCTGGAATAATTTTAATAGAAATAACGGGTATCCAGGGATAACGTAAAAAGCTATCAGGGATCACTAGTTATTAATATAAATAAAAGAACGAATCAAAATATTAACGAAAAATATTTTAATAATCTTTATAAATATATTGTGCTGAATTCTTGAAAAATAAAGTTATTACTCTTAAGATATAGTAAGTGTGTTCTTTCAAAAAACAAGGCAGTATATACGTATTAAAAAATATATAGAAAAAACGAAGAAAAATGTGAATCTCTGCCTCACGAAAGAATCAAACCTGTAGTAGGTTAGGTCATTGAAGTAAAAATATATGCACCGTAAAAAACTTTCTGTATATTCTGTATTATATGACACTTAAAAGTATACTCTATTAGCCTTTCAGACTTAATTTAAAAGCACTAAATCTAGAGTTCCGCTTATAACTTTAACTTCTCGCTGTAAAATCTTCCATAAACATGTCGTACCACTGAAAGTTGATGGGATGTTTCTATTGAAATGTTAACATTTTATTTACGACTGTATAAAAAAAATTCTATCATATTTGAACTAATATAATAACTAAATGTATACTGTGTAACTATATATAAGGTAAATGAAAAATTGAATGTGTATGTAAAAAAACATAAGTATAGAATATTATGTAAGAACAAAAAATTAGACCATTAATATTTTTTTTTATATTGACCAAGATATACCATAAATTCAACCTAAAACTTTTTGACTTGGCTAGTTTAAAAATAATTATTTTAGAGCTTTATAGTATAGCTAGAGCTATACGTAACAATCTTAACACACTCAGTTAATGAAATAAATAACTCTTGCCCAACTTTGTAGAGAGGAATAATTCCCAAGTTTTGCATCGCTGTCTTTTTAAGTTTGACTAATTGTTTGTTGTGATTTTTCTTTGAATGTTAGATTTATGCGGTTTCCACTATTATATTTTGAGCTTTTGTTCGCTTAACACTAGTTAGTTGTTACGACTTTTCTTGAAATTATATATTTTTTTTAAATATTTAGTGTTCGCCTAATGGTCGAAGTTCGGCCATAATCATTATTGAAAACTTGAGGAAGATATATATGTATAGCATTCATATATTTTCCGTGACTCGCCATCGCTTCGCTTCGGGTTTGTCCCTAGAGAAGAATAAGTTATTTCCGGGATTAAAAGTAACCTATGTGCTGTTCCAGACTATAATCTATCTTTGTAACAAATTTCATCCAGATCCGTTTAGCCGTTCTGGCATGAAATCCATCATCCATCCTCACAAATTTTACATTTTTAATATTAGTATGGATTAGGATGGATAATATATCGATCTATATAAAGAAATAACTGTTTCTAAAAAAAAATATTGATAACACCAAAGCTCGTTGATGGCTACAAAACAAAAAAAACAAAATCGTATGACAAATAGAAAAGAGCAAGTATTTGATGTTTGTTGCCTATATACATATAGGTAATATGTACGTTACTATAGAAAAAAAGTAAATTATCTTTAGTATATTCAAATATAACCTTTTTAAACTTTCTTCAATCATAGACAAATATTATTTCTAAGAATTACAATTACGTATAAAAAGTTTTTTTTTTTGAAATTTTTAATTTGTAGCTTCAGGTTAACTATGTTTTTAATTAAAAATCTAATAAAGCTTGATTAAATAATTAATTAAAATCTTATACTTAAAGACGTTGTAATAAAAAAAAACCTTTCATTAAAGAAACAACACAATGGTATGTATAGGTGGCATTATCGATAATAGAAATCTCATAAGATATGTTTATCTTAACTAAACATGTGATAAATATAAATATTGTAACTGTACACCATATCGTGTATGGATAAATTTACAGAAGACTTCATAAAATATTAAATAAAGACATTAAAAGTGTATAATTATTTTACTAACTAAAATTTAACTATGTAAGTGTTGAGCATTATCACCTATTACATCTCTAATCATACCACTAATCATCAGTCATTAAATATTTCACAATCATATATTAAAAATATTTTTTGAAAATCTTATTTAAATAGTCATTAGTATCGATACAGAGACCGACTCTATAGTTTATAGAATTTTTGTCTGTCTGTCTAACTGTTCTCAAGAGAATACCACTGGACAAATTTTGATGAAATTTGTTATGATGATAGCTGGTTATCAGGGTCAACATATAGAATTCTTTTTACTGTTGGAAAATATCTCATCTCTGAGAAATGTATACTAACCGTTAAAACGTATCGCTATAAATTATGTATAAATATGAAAGTTTTATGTGCTATTCCTTCACGCTGAAACAGCTGGACCGATTTGGATGAAATTTAGAACAAAAATAGATCATGACCTGGAGTAATAAGGCCAAAACATAGCGCTACCTGTACATCCATACTAATATTATAAATGTAAAAGTGTGTTTGTTTGTTTGTTTGTTTGTCTGTCCTTCTTTCACGTCGAAACGGAGTGACGGATTGGCGTGATTTTTTGTGTGGAGATAGTTGGAGGGCAAAAGTAGCATATGTAACTTTCCAAGTGACATATGCTACATTTTTACCGCGGGAGATTATCTAATTCCCACGGGAAAACACGTTATAATACAATCCAAAAACAATATTTATGATCAGAATTACTTGAAACTTGGTATTAATGCTATTGAATAAAATTAAATAAATATGTACGTGTTTTAACATTTTTCGAAATTTATCCTATAAGGGGGTAAAATAAAGGATGAAAGTTTTTATGAAACTACTTTATTACAGTTTTTTTGTAGTTTTAGCGCGAGCAAAGCCGTGGGTTCTGCTACTATTACTATAAATACTAAACACGATATCAGATAAGAATCTACAATCCATTTGATAGCTTCATATGACATCCCATAAACGGTAGTCGTTTTCCCACACTTCTTACAGTAAGTAAGGTCTATCCA